ACCGTATATAGTGTCGTTAATGTTGACATCAAGAGTCATCAGTGAGGCCTGAGAGCGAGGGATTCAACGATACTCCATCCATACTAAAAAAAATGAAGTCATTTTAGACAGCGACACGGTCTCCGAAGCATAACTTTGACTATTTATTTTTATAAAGATATTTATCAAAAAGTGATATATATAAATTTTTGTGAAAATATTTTTCAAGACAAATCTATACATATGGTTTTCATATTTCCAAACTCAACAACTTAAAAGTTATTCATGATTTATATTCCCAATGTTTAACCCAAACTTTATCCAAAACAACTTTATTTTTTAATATGGAGGGAGTACATAAGAGAGGAAAAACTAAACCAATCTGGGAGGAACTAGGTAGACTGCTTTCTGTATTCATATTAAGAAGAAATTAAATGGAGGTACTCAAATTAGCATCGACGATGGAGGAGTAGAACTCGGATGGTCCAGACGTACGGCCAAACCAACTGAGCATTTATCTGCTGGTGTGGGGGTACTCACAGTCATCGGTGTGTAATAATCTGAACACCCACCAGGACCAGGTACTGCATGCCCAACTTTTCCATGGTGTTTAATTTCCAGTTTACGCCATGGCTGCTGCTTTATATTTTTCCTCATATGTGAACGGGGGTCGCAAATGGAGCTGCACTTTTCGCCCGCGGCCTGTTTTACCTGGTCATTGTTTTTACGAGAAGATTCCTAAGAACGGTAGCAAAGAGGCATAGTCGCACTTTCAGGAAAAGTTCTCTGCCTAAAAATGTGTGATGTGGATCATGTTCAAACCTGAGAGGTCTCAAGTCATATTTGCACTGTTCGGATATTTAGAGAAAGTCTTTGCCCTTTATTATCACCTTAATGATCCAACTTTACAAAGTTCCAGATACTCTCTCTGATTTTTACATTTCTTTCACCTCCATCAGGTCTCATTGTCTTTGTCTCAAAATATAGCGTCATGCAGGTTTCTTGCATTTCCGTTGTGACATGTGAGTTTCCTCAGAACACTACTATTTCGTGTCTTTAACTGGAAGTTCAATTATTGTTAAAACATCCATCTCACATTGCTGGAGTGCTGAACCTTGTGTGGCTTAAGCCAACGCAAATTGCCAAATAAAATTCGCCGTGTTTGGGGTTCACCACAAGTAGTCGCTATTGAATTTGGAAGTTTTCGTACAAAAGCTTACACAATAATGTTGAAGTTGATGCAGCACTGGCCAAACCCAATTTTTATTCGCCTTCGTGTTCAAATTTACTTCACAGGTTTTGGAGAGGTCACAAAGACAGAATGCACCCAATTGGCAAGTCTTTGGTAGCGATTTGTCAATGCGACAAAGCAGTCAGCAATTAATCAATCTTCCAGTGCACCATTTCTTATATACATCTAGCCGATAATCATTACCAGAATCCCGTCTAAAAGTGACTAAGAAATCGCTACCCAGTAGTAGTTATCATAGTACGGCGGCAAGAGTTGGTAGTTCTTTCTTCCTTTTTGAGAGGAAGAGTGGGTTGTTCTTGACGTACGGGTAACAAAAGAAAACGTGTATGCATTGTTTCTGTATAGAATTAGAACCCAATGGTCTGTTCGCTTCGCTGAAAAGCCATGTCTAAAAATACTGTTTACTAATTTATTGTGATAGAAAACACTGTTCCAAACAGTATGGCTCATAAGATAAGCGAACAGAGTCAATGTTGTGAAAAAAAAAGTTTGAAGCTAAAAGGTTATTGGAGAAATGACTCAGCGAGAGAAGACCTTGATTTGACCTCTTCTATATTTAGCTGTTCATAAATGGCACGTGTATCCGTGTGAGAAATACCAATGGTTGTGACAAAACACAAAACAAGTAAGGCCGTGTTTAGTTCGTGAAATGAAAATATTTGATATCATATTGAATGTTTCGGAGATATCGGAAGGGGTTTTCGGATATTAATAAAAAAACTAATTATATAGCTCGCCCCTGGAAACTACGAGACGGATTTATTAAGCCTAATTAATCCATCATTAACGCATGTTAGTTACTGTAGCACTTATGTCTAATCATGGATTAATTAGTCTTAAAACATTCGTCTCGCGATTTCCAACCAAACTGTGCAATTAGTTTTTTTTGTCTATATTTAATACTCCATGCATATGTCGTAAGATTCGATGTGATGGTTTGAGGTGAAAATTTTTGGGAACTAAACCAAGCCTAAGGGTCTATTATTTTCAGGTTTCCTATACGACACCTTGGGTGTTGGCATTGGCTTCTATTACTAATTTTTGTGGGTTTCCCTATTTTCATATTAAGTAATATTCCCTCTATTTTAAATTATAAGATATTTTAACTTTTCTAGATAGCTTTTGTTATGTATTTAAAAATACAATATTATGTAATAGTAAAAGCAATGTATCTAGAAAAGCTAAAACATCTTATAATTTAAAACGAGGAAGTAAGTAACAAGGATGGAGATGAAAACAAAGTTGACTTTTGTTCATATTTCTAGTTACAATTACAATCATTTAAGTTATTTTAGAAGTACAAACAAGCTTTGTTCATGAGTCATGCATGGCCGCCGTTTCTTGGCGAATAGTAACGCAAGCGTAGCTGTGCTAGCCTATCTCGTCTTCTCCATCCATCTCCTGCAGGCCCTTGTTCCCAAATCTGCAAGCAATTAAGCAAACATTCCACCCACCAGCCAAATTTTCAAGTACTCATCACTCATCAGGGTTTCCCGGTCTATATTTAAGTTATTTTAGAAGTACAATGATTTTTTGGTATAGTTTCTAACTAGATATGATGTAACTTTAAAAGAAATCGGGTGCAGAACCATCAGAAATGCCCGAACTTTTTCAACACTTTGATTCAAGTATCAAACAACTAAAAGAATTCTCGAACGCTTCCCAGAATGGAGTAGCATGCATGCTCATAATTTTGGGGGTTAGGAGGCCAAAAGAATACTTTGTTGTTGGGTAGACAATGCAATCGTAAGATCCATGCTAGTCAAACTAACTTAAATTTAATCAAGTTTATATTAATTAGTAAATAGTAATAATATTTATATCACTAAACAAATTTGTTATGAAAATATATTTTATAACTAATCTAACGATATTTATTTTGTATCATGAATGTTAGTATTTTTTAATATAAATTTAGTCAAAGTTTAAATTATTTGATGTCTTGAAAAACAAGAATTCCATTCTTTCGTGGACGGAGTGAGACTATTGTTTTTCACACCAGCAGCAAAATTTGACACTATTATTTGATAGCAGGGTGAATTTTGTTTTTCGAAAAAAAAAAGAATAGCTGATTGCGCGTTAAAATGGATGACCTTTTACAGGTTATGTTACCACTACCATTCGTCTCCGTAGTTCCTCCTAGCTTGTAAACCTTGAATGGCCGAACTAATTAGAAGTCTTCCATCACCTGCCGCACTGTTGAACAGGTACAGGATGTGTAGGAGTACGGAGTAGTTGCAACAAACAGCAGCGCTGTTAACGACGATTCTACCTTTGACCACTGTCGTCAGAGCTCTGTATTTGCAGTTTTTTCTCCAGATGGGTCGACGTTCTTGCGGTAGATTTCATCCACAGCGTAACCGCATATGTTTTTCCTGAGAGCAAAAATAATTACTACTACGACAAGATTGGACGGATGAGTCATGAGTAGCAGCAGAACGGATCGATCAGCAATGCCTGTCGTATCGTTGAACGTTGACGCCTGCTGACTTCGGAGGACAGGAGCTTAGGAGCCAAGGAAGGCAGACAAAAAAGTACTGTTCGCTTGAACTTATCGGTTAACCCCGCAACTAGCAGCGACCACGAGTCGTCCGTCCGTCGCTCTGCGCGTAGCCATCCTTGAACCCCCTCCCTCGGTCGCCATTATTGCAGGCTGGTTCCGACAGGTGGTGTTCGTGTTAGACATGGTCCACTTGGACCTCCGATCCCATGGAACAGGCCGCCGCCGCGGGATGCATCCTTCACCTTCTCATGCTACTCGGCGACGCGGGTTTCGTTTTCCTCCGAGAAGCGAGGCGCGCTGATGTGCTGCGGTGCTGCCTCGACGGCGCGCCGTGTGCGGCTAGGCTAGGACGGGTCAAAAACGTCGATCGAATCCTCCTCACCCGTTCGCTGTGTTTTTAGATTCCTGACTCTGGAATCTGGACAGGATCGGCAGCGCACGCGGCTCCTCTGCTTGACGCCGACGTATCGGCGCGTCTGCGCGTGATCATGGTCGTGGATGTGCAGCGCGCTGACGCATCCGCGCCGGGGAACAGGTTGGCGAGGCGACCCCGGCGTGTGCTCTCTTTGCACGTACGCACGGGTGGTGTGGGTGGTAGACTGGTAGCGACTAGCGAGTTGCTTGGCAGCGTCTGGGCGAGGTGGTAAGGTAACCGCAACCGCGTGGTTGAGCTGGAATACTGGACTCGGTGGTGGGCGAGAGGGCCTGGTCGGTCAGCATATCATACCGGTCGCCTGTCCAGGGGGGCGGGGGTCTGAAAAATGTTGCTCCCCAGCGCAGCGCATGTTGACGGATCACATCACATCGCATTGCATTGCAACCCGGTCAAATATGGTCAGGAAATGTCGAAACAGATTGCTTGAATTGCCATTGTGTCTCTGATATATTACACATTGATAGCAATTTATATATCAAAATTGATCCTCTGCTGCACCTTCCACGTCCTACGAGATAAACCATGCAACGTCAAAGCCGCGCACAGACTGGCTGCCGATGCAGTGTAAATAGTAAAAAAACCTTTGGCCCCGCTATGCTCACTAGCCTGGCTTTATGAAGTAGGGAGCGTCATACTCATAGCTAAACCAAGGCCGCTACATCACACGATGTACATAGGCAACTCAAAGGACCTTGACACTGAGGGATATATCTGGAGCGTCATGACCCAACAGGTGTTCCCTTTCTTGACACATGGAAACCGCAGCAGTCTCCAGACAGGAGATGATGGACCGACAAAAATCAGAACTGCAATCCCGCGATGAAGTTCAGCTAGCCGCTAATTTGGGGGAAGATTTGTGATATCTTCATGAAAACGTCCATCACCTAAAAGCAGAGACAATCGTATTAGAAAGCTAAGCAGGGTGGCACTCCCAGTCCCGTCTATGTTCATAAACTGACTGACAGCAAGAGGGTCTAGAAATAGAAATACCTCCTTGTCGTTTTGGTATTTTACAATGTTAAGAGGGTTCTGCGAGCACTGCATCAAGATGGCACCATGTCAGAAGACTCAAATGACTAAAGCAGTATAATAGATGAGTTTCTACAGGGTCTTACGTCCATGATGGCTGTCTGTATTTTTGGATTCTGGAATGCAACAGCTACATCTGGGTTTGCCATTATTTTCGATACCACTTCCTCGGGAGTCATGCCAACTTGCGCTGTACAAGCAATCAAATAATTTAGGAGTTCATATCTCATCTAAGCAAAACTGCTTTGATGGATAACCAATGGAACAAATTTGCACTAAACAGTTCTTTGATAAACAATAAAAAAATGATACCACAAAAGCAGAGTCTTAACTAAAATAACTTAACTGTTACCCTTGCCTTGCAAACACTAGAAGCATGTGCTGACTATGCTAGGTTTTAGCATAAGAAAGTAACATGGGTATTCTAAGAACACCAGATTCTCAAATCTCAATATGTTAGCTTCTGGCAGCCTCACATCAGAGGAACATATTTGAAGCAAAGAATGACAACAACCGTAATGAATCACAGGCAGGAACAAATGTATTACATAGCACGGGGAATTTCGCAGAATTCATGTGTTCCAAACAAAACCCAAGTTATGTAGAAAGCATTCAATTAACTCACCAAACTGCTGCCTCACTTCTGGACTGCTAAGGTCAAAGTTCTTTAGGTGATCAACCATGCGGTTATCCCATTGATCAGGAGATGCACCCATGTTATTTCTGTGAACAGGTAGCAGCATCAGTAAAAAAATCAGGGAAGATTTTTGCGCTACAATAAAGACAAGGATTTCTGCTAAAAAGTTAGTGTTAAACATTCAGGTATCGATACTTGTTAGCTCAACTGCATACAGTGTCCAATTGCCATGATAAGTTGATAATCAATTGGTCCATGAGACCATGAGTTTGGGTGTAAGTTCTTTGCTAAGACCACATCAGTTGGCATTGCCCAGAGGATACCGATACCTGGCATCATCCTAAATGCTTCTACCGTCCCATGGCATCATTATTCAAGATTTATATGGCATATACTAATGATAGGCTTGGTCAACAATCAAACTACTAATGCCATGGTTCATCTTAATTCTAAAACGATAAGTTAAATAAAACATTGAAATATCCAAGTTAAAACGTAAAGTTAAAATATAAAAGGTGAGAAATCAAAACAGAAAGCTGATGCCTATACGGGTGCAAATAGATTTATTACTTACAGCATATCCTGTAGTTGTTGCTGGTACATTGGATTCTGCAGCATCCCTGGAAAATAATATTAACACAAATCAGTATTTAAAATGGAAAATAAACTCTGGATATTTGGTATTAATTATCTAAATAAGTGATCAGGATTCACGGGCATACACTTGAACGAATCTGGGTTCCTCATCTCTTCAGGCAAGTAGCTGCAACATGTGAAGAAATCAGCAACACTTTTTCAGTTTACTTGGAACAAAAGGAGATTTCCTGTTTCCTAATATTCCTTCACAAGAATTAGCAACTTCAGAATTACTAAAATTGACTTTGGAGGCAGCAGGCTGTCCATTACATGGGAGGCCTCAGCGCAAGAGACATTACCACCACATTCCAAACACATAACAGGCAAAAATTGGAGCACTTATAAGATACAAATCCCTCGATTAAAAGTGACATTTTGGAAATTGAGATGGTCTCCAAAACACAACTTTAACTAGTACTTTTTTATTACAGGATATTTTTAATGTATTGAAACTAGATTTTTAGACAAATCTACCATATCACTTTCAAATACTGATTCAACACATAAAAAAGATTTTTTTACCGAAGTTTAAAATAGTTAGTGTCATCCTAAATGGTAAACGGTAAACAGTCAGGCTAAACTGCCACTTAAACGGGCAAATTGGCTGTTTAAACGGGCTAAACAACCGATTAAATGGAAACGGCGTACCACCGTTTATCGTTTAAAAGGTGCGTAAATGGGCTAAACGGGCGTTTAGGCAAACAGTAAAAATAGTTGACTTCAACACTCAACAGTCCCACTATTTATTTGTGACTTGAGGGAATATTACGTAATCCATTTTACTATTCATTACTTGGGAGACCTTGCTCTGTGGTTCTTCCATCCCTAACACCTGACAGGCAAAGAATAGGTACACTGAAAAATTTCTAGGCCATTCCATCTTTATGTTTAATCATGGAGTTCCTCCAAAGCAGGACTAACTTCACACGAAATATAGCAAGAAACTGGCTGTTAGTCTCCAGACGTCATGTTTCTCAAACTAGCAAAATTCAGGATTGAGTTATTGGTCTAGTAAACCAAAGGTATTATTTTTCTAATATTGATCACTTAATTATCCTCATCATTCAGCAAAAGAACACAGGAACATAACCTACACACAGCACAGATGAGTATCAGTGTATCACCAACGTGCAAAAGTGCTGACTTCCTGACACTAACAAACACAGGAATAGGAATACTCCCTCTGTCCCTTTTTAAGTGTCACTATGGTATCCGTGTTGGTTAAGTTTTCTTAAGTTTGACTAGGTTTGTAGAAAACATTCGCAACATTTGTATCAACAAATAAGTTTATTATGAAAATAGATTCAACGATCTATCTAATGATACTAATTATGTACCATAAATATTAATATTTTCTTGTATATATATTTCATCAAAGTTGAGTATGTTTGACTTCTCGGGAAGTGAGAACGAAAGTTAAAAAGGGGCGGAGGGAGTATGGTTGAGCCAAGCTGGTGTCTTAGGTGCTTTCTAATACAGAGCATTTCTCTTATTGCACAAGCGATCAAGCATACTGTGTTAAAAAACATTTTGTGCATATATCAAAAGTGGCAGGGCATGGATATTTGGCATTCAGAGCAATTAACTGACAATCAACAATATTCACTAAGCTATTACAATTAACAATAAAATAAGCCTAAATCTTGGGAAGCAGAAGCGCTTCTGTTTTCAATAGAATAACTGCAAAGACAGCGAAGTTAGGTGGCACTTACGGATACACCATCTTCTGCACAGCTGGATCTTCCATCATTTTTTCAATTGTCTCAATGGATAGCATAGGTCCCGAGTTACCTATAACAGAATTAGTTGAGGAATCTATTCTGGTCAACCAGGAAAACTAGATAAAACTATAAAAGGTACACTGCCAAATCATTTTATAAGAAAGATGCTGAGATACAAATAGAGATCCGCAATATGTATGTTCAATCACTTACTAGATTCAGTTGGCCCACGAGCAGCATCTTCATTCGGCTTAAAAGTCGCTCCATTTGTGGGAACCTTCGAGAATTACAGAAATTAAAGTATTAAATAAATACAGTGGATTTTGCAGGAAGCTTATTAGTATTACCCAGCTTTGTAACATAACTTACTTTTTCCTCAGTATCCTCCTTACTTTCACTGTCTGTACTATCATGTTTCACATCTACCGTCTCCAGTGAAGATTGGAGGTTCTTTTCCTGCAACTCTTCGGGAGTTACATCAACAAATGCTGCATACATTTAATTATGGTCGTAAGAATGAGCACCAGATATATGAAGCAAATGAAGATCAACATTAAGAAAAGCCGCATCACCAATGAGTAGTGCGTTTTCATTTATTAGTATAAATGCACAACAATGGTAACTTACAAATTGAGCATACCACTGCACACTGAAAGTCCCAACCTTCCATTCAAGGATAGTTAAAGAAAGAAAATCTACAAGCCTAAATGCCATACCAAATTTCTTTGAAGGTTCCGGCGTTTCAGTCACATCCACCTCTTTCGATGTTCCAGCGGCTTCCACTTCGGTAGCTGAGACATCAACAGTTGACACCTGTGGGGAGGTATCTTTCTTTGGTTCCAAGTACGGAAAAGTGCTTGGTGCAGTAGGAGATGCCTGTGGTGGCATGCCAAATGGGAAAGGCGAGTTGGAGCCAAATGAGTTTGGTGGTGCCTGGGTCATCATTGACTTAAATGCTTGTTCCATGGCATATCTCTGCAACAGATTTAGTAACAAGTGAAAAAAAGGGGTAAGCAAATAGATCACGCACAAGCAAATTCAAAGATGCAACACAAACTGAAAAGGCAACAACAAATGGGTACAAGGGCCAAACCTAGTGAGATATGAAGCGGGGCGTACAGCATACAATTTTGATAGGAATTTCGGCAATAGTGATAGTATGGAAGTTAAAGATATACAGGATGCAGAAACTAAGCTTCTGATCAAACTACCCCCCCACACACACACCCGGCCACCCACACACCCACACCCACACCCACCACCACCTTCATAGGACTACATGCTATGTTTCAACTACTAAAACAATAGTCCCTCTGATCATAGATAACACTTTGAGCAAAATCGGGTCAAACTAAGGTAGATAGTGGTAGAGCTGCATGAAAATGTGACTGTGTCCTATAGCTCTTTCAAGAGTGTAAACAAATGCCTTTTCCCTCTCTGAACCTGTCTGCAAGGTGGTAACCCAGCACAATTCGGTTGCTTTCAAAAAAGCAGGGCAAAAGTGTCATCAGCCCCAAAATCCAATCAAATTTTTAAATTTTGACGTTCAACAGTTTTCAAAATATGTAGTTAAGAAACATAAAAATCATGTGTAAATATGTCTTGAAATGTACTTTCATAATATCATACTTAACAGATATTATAACTACATTCTAATGACCGTCAATAGTTTTCAAAATGTTTAATTGAGAAACATAAAAGTCATGTACGTGTAAATTTGCCTTGAAACATACTTTCATAATATCATACTTATTAGATATCATAACTATAGTCTATTAAGAAAAAAAAACACTGCTCAAAATTCAAATAGATCAGAGGCAAAAACCTGAGAAATGGACTGACAAAGTATAGAGATAATGGAAGACTAAACAAGCATAGCACAGAAAGGCTAACACAAAGAACTCCAGTTGATTCATGTCCAACCATCAACAGACAGCCGTAGGGTAATTATTAGGAGTAACCATGCGCTTGACGGGGATACATACCGTTTGGCAACATAAAAAGCAGAGAATAGCTGTGAGCTCACCTTTACCATGGAAGAGACCTGATACATCAAACCACAAAGTATTTAAGTTACAAGTGAACGATATACATAAAACTATAAAAGCATGGTATAGCATTAAAGTCAATGGGATTCGCACCGTGGTAAACGCCACAGACAATGCTACACCAACTCCAATCCAGAAAACAGGTGAACCACTGCAGAAATTATATGCTAGGTAACTAAGTTATCATGCAAAGGTAAAGTTGACAACAGCATACACAGAGAAACGAGGGGGGAAACTCACAAGTATGATGATGGGGGAGGCATGGGAGGCAGGGTACCGGTTCCAGTAGACATATTCTCATTGCCAGTCGAAGATGAAATGCTTGCAAAGCCTTTTGCTCTCGATCCCAAGAAAACTGATGTATCGAACGTTTTTATTTAATTATATCAGAACAGAAATGGGAACAACCCACGCTGACAAGTGACAAAACGTTCTCAACTCTACTCAACAGCTACTATAAAAAGCGAACGGATAAGCTGACCATTCCCTGCTCGGTTCTCAACTGCAACTTGTAATTTTGTCAGCTACAAATTCAGATGTGAATTATGGAAACATCAGACTGGGGATGCACAGAGCAACCTCGAGCTACACACTCAGTTCCACAGACAGAGGCGGCAAGGATTGGGTCGAGATAGATAAATGAACAAAACGGAACAATCAGAGCAATTCAGAGGCAAAGCCTGGGCCCGCTTAACGCCTAGTCAACAGCGCGCCCTCGCTCGCAGGAAACTGAGCAGCGCGCAATCAGGAAGGAAAAAAAAAGCATCAGAAGAGGGAGGCCGGTCCCCTCACCGTTCCCGGATCCGCGAGGTGCTGCCGCGGCGGCGACGAAGAGCCTGGGCCTCCTGGGCCCTTTCCGCGCGGCACCGCTGGTGGACGCCGCCGCCGCCGGCGGCGGCGGCGGCACGGAGCCGGGCAGCCTCCGGAAGCGGGCGGCGGAGGGGAGTAGCGGGAGCCGTGGGGACACGGAGCAGGACGAGGCGAGGACGAGGCTCTCCATGCCGTCGGGCCGGGCCGCGCTGCGCGAGGCACTGAGGTCCCTGTCTCCCTATCGCTTGCTTGCTCGCGCTAGGGTTTTTGCTCGCGTGGCGCCGTGGCGGCGAGGCTTCGTTTTACTCGCGCGGTGGGATATCGACTCGGGGAGGGAAGAGGGGACAAGGGAGGAGGGACGGAAGAGTGTTGCGGGATGGGATGACGATTGACGACGAAACCAAAGCCCTCTTCTCGGCTCTCGCAGTGGACTGTGGAGGTGGGGCCCACCCGATGTTTTTAGTGTGGTGCTGAAACAGTACAGTAACTCTCTTCTATAATTTATTTTAGATCGTTTCGGCATGCTTATCATGATACAACGTTTTTTCTCATCACAAAACAGCATCAGCCGACTTATAAACCACAGAACCAATCGAGCAAACAGGGATTCGCTAATTCGCTACACTGCCGAAAGACTCGAGTTACAAGGTTTTTTTTAAGAAAAAAAAAGACTCCAGTTGCGGTCAGACAAGCAAATTCATCTGTCCCACGTTTAGGGACAACCAGGGCACCAGGCTAATCGCTGCTTCCTCCATCCCAAATTAAATTAACTTCTATAATTATTGTAAATCAAATTGTTTTAAGTTTTATTTATGACACCAACGTAATATTACTAGATACGTTTTATTTATGACACCAACTTAATATTACTAGATACGTACATCATGAGATATATATTTATAATGTACATACTTATTTAGTGTCATAGATGTTATTGATTTTCTAAAAGATTAGTTAAAATTAAAATAATTCAATGATTCTTAGGACTAGGAATTGATTTATTTTTGGGTAGAGAAAGTACTACCCCTTTTGTGGCCGTGGCAAATGAGTAGTACTACCGTCGTTCTTAGTTGGTTTTGGTTTCATTATGTGATTATATCTAGACATAGGTTATATGTAAGTGCTATATAGCAAAAATTATATATATAGAAGAACTATTTATAATTTCAGATGGAAAGAATACTATCATTTTTTAGCACTAACATAGTCACAATATTAAATCGTAATGTAAAAGAAGTAGTTTATAAAAGTCAAAACATGTTACCTTTGGAACAAGAGTCCTCTATGACCACAAGGATTAGTTACCAAATGGCTTTTGACATAAGATCCTTTTTGTATCCTATCCCATTCGTACTAAGGTTGCCATCCTTGCGGCACTTAGCCTAAAGGGAAAAAATCCATGTTTTTTCTCTGACAATTTATTTTAATCGAGAACAAGAAGTGCTCTGCTTCTCTTAATCATGGTGTTTCGGTTCATTTTTACAAAGTTGTATCTAGGGAAATTTCATAAAGTTGTCGATCTAATAAACACTTTCTTGTATTAGTAGCTCCAAGAGAGAGATTGAACTACAAAAACAAGAGCATGTTTTATGAGCAACAAGACGCATCTCTGAGGTACACATAGATGCATCATGGTCTTAATCAATTGATGTGCCGAAGATGGGATGAGATTTAGCTTGAGAACTTCATAATCCACAAAAGGCTTGTTTGTCTACCCACCAATCCACTCCAATACCTCTCAACCCATGTGGATTGGTGTGCCATGTGCAGCCAAACAAACCCTAAAGAGAAACAGCTAGCAATCACTCTATGACCAGTGTTTTGGTAAACATGAGATGGTATAACTATATAAGGACCGCTCTCAATGGGTTGTGCCACATAGAATTATCAATTCTGACGACAAGAAAGATGAAATGAGTTCCTCCTAGATTGAACCCTATAAACACTCTTTCCAATTTATGTGTTAGAATTAAATGCAATGAGTACTATTTTCAAGTTTATGTGTCAAAATTAAATGCAATGAGTAGTACTCTCTCTGTTTTTATTTACATATTGTAACACCCCTGGTGTTACGAGCTCATTTAGCACCGCGATTTAGGCCTAAGAAAAATTTTCAAAACGAGTTCCTCGGAATTTTTAATTTAAACGTACTTGAGGCGATCAGCGAATCATATGTGACTTAGTTTCGTGGACTTAAATAAACGCTCAAGATAAATTACGCAGTGCGTAGAAATATTTAGAGATGTCCAATAACGATTCTAGCAAATAAATAGCGAACGGCGTGTTTAATTGATTAAACACGAAAAACAATTTTATAAACAAAATACGATACGACTGGTATATAGCACTTAAGTAAAGATTCGGAGTATGATTTTTGCTTGCATTTAAAATAATAACGAAAGTACCGCTGACCATTCAGCCCGCCTACCACACCGGAACGACACGCGCGTTACGTGATTAGATTGAGCTCGCTGGCTGGGCGCTGCTGCTTGTTGGCCGCCTTCGCGTTCCGACACGTGTCCGTTCACCCGCGTTCATGTCCTTTTCTCTTGCGTCGCGTCCGAATTTGGATTAGCGCCAGTCGAGCAGGTTCCATACAGCACCGCCGAGTAGCCACTACCTCCGTTGTCACGTCGCTTTGCAACGCTGCCGAAAAATGCCACGCTGTCACGTCGCCCTGTTTTTCTCCATCTCACTCTCTCGGTGTCTGCCTCTGCCTGCCTCGGCTTGTCTCTCGATTGCTTTTGTCTGCCTTCGCTAGTCCTTGCCTACCTCTCCTGCCACGCCAGGTCCACTCCCTGCCTATACGTGCACCAGCATCGTCCACGCTTTGCCAAGCTGTTGGCTGTCGTGGTTGACTTTGGAATAGCTAGTGAACTGATCGGCGGGACGTCTTCCTGCCACTGATGTCCCCTTCTTTCTTCTATTTCTGCTGCCGAAATCCTGCTCGTCGTCGGCGGCGTTTCCCTTCCCTATCTCGCAAAAGCTCTCAGCGTCGCCTCTCCTTTCCCATTGCCCGCCGCTGCTGCTCGTCGTTTTCTCTCTCGCGCAAGGTCTTTGTTTTTCCCTCTAGCTTCATGGCCACTTCCGTCGTTGCGCCATCACCAGACGCAGACGCTGCCATGAAGCCACTACATTGCTCGCCATCGCCTCAGCCGCCAAGGCCCCGTCCGCCGGCGTCCCTCTTCATCCCCAGCCCGTCGTCATCTTTTCCTTTTTTCCTCGCTCTCGCGAAAGCGAAAGTAAGTTCTTCATACGCCCTTCTTTTTTTCGTTGTTGTGGCGTACGTAGCTCGCCTCGCGAAAGCAAATGCCCGAGCCCCGGTCTGCTTTCGGACCGTAGCCGCCGCCATCGCGCTTCTCCCTCGCGTCGTCCGTCATGGGAGTCGTTAGTGTTCCGCGCCCTCCTCTTTCCTCTTCGCTACCTCGCGTCGTGCGTACACTGTGCCTGCACCGTCCCCACCCTCGTCAGGCTGGCCCGCGCTCGCGCTTCAGAACGCCGTCGCGCCGGCTGCATGACAAATAGAGCCCCGTCGTAGTCTGCTGCCGCCGGACGCCTCCTCAGCCGGCCGCCGCTGCTGTGTGGACGACCGCCTCGGTCCGCATGGCCAAGCAAAGAAGAGTGGTCGAAGTCGCATACCTCTCTCCACGCAGCGCCGCAGCCGCTTCGTCGGTGGGCCTTCTACCATCACCGTGACTTTCCCGGTCGGGATTGGTCGCCGGCCGGACCTCCTGGCTCTGTTGTGCTCTGTTTTGTGGAGGAGCCGAGGTGAGAAGTCCAAGAAGAAGTTTATACGGGGTTCCTATTGCAAAATACTAGACTCGTGTAAATAGTATGCTAGTACCGCGGGTTAATTTAAGCAAAGTATGGGGGGCTTCTCGCAAAATGTACCGCCGCCGCCGTGCGCTGGGCCGGCCTGCTCACCTCCGTGCTGGGCCACTCGCGCCGTCCCCACGTTGGGCCTTGCAGCGCCTGCCACCTGGCCTCTGGTGGCTTGCTTCTCTCGCGCTGGGCTCCCTCGCGCCCTAGGCCGGGTGCGCCATGCTGATCCGCCTTGCGCCATTGGGCTGGTCATGCTGCCCTCCCTTGGCCGCCGCGTCTGGGCCGCCCGCGCTGATCCGATCCGTCTCTTGGGCAGCAGCCTCGTTTGCTTTTCTTTGGGCAGCTCACGCTCGCCACCCCAGCCTAGTCTAAGTCTAGGGCTGCCGCCGGCACTGCCCCGGGCCGCGATTGGGCCATGGAGCCAGTTAGTTCCCGCTGGCCTTTCCTGTATCTAAATGCTTTTTGAATATAGGTTTGTAGTTTAACTTGAAAAATTGGTAGCAATTTGTGTAGTGGTTTAAAAATTATGAAACCAGTTTTGTTGAGTTTCTAAAATCATGATCTACCTGTTAGTATAGTTTGTTCACATAGTTTGATAATATTCGTGGAAGCTATATAATTAATTTAAGGTACTTAATATTGTAAAATATAAACTTGTAGGAGTTTCCATGATAAATTGATAATATTGTTGAATCTAAAATTTATACAGTAGGCTCCTAGCAATATTAGGTACCCACTATAATTTTTGTAGCTCCAGAATAATTAGTTTGCTAAATAGATAATGATGCCTTATTTCGAATAATGATTAAATCGATAGAATAAAATAAAGAAACACCTTAGTTTATATAACTAAAATTCTTGTTAGGAAATAACGCTATATTCGGCAACGTGTATATGTAGCCAAGGTACGGTCGTCGTTAGAACTAGCCCGTTAACTCGAGAGGCGTACATTGTATTTTACGAGTCACGATTGCAGTTGATTAATTACATCTTTGCATTGCATCGCATGCATATCATATAGGTACGATGATGGATCAACGAATCGATCGAAGGATGATTGGGAATCCAAGATGGTGTAATGGTATTCTCTCTAGGAGATGATGCAATGGGCTTTCTATTTAGATGATGTGGATGATCTGAAGATGTAGATACTAACTTTTTAATATATCTTACCCAGGCAAGCCCCGGTGCATAACCCCTACTTTTCTATAGTTTAAATTATATTTGTACATTAAGTTTTAAGGAGTTGAATGAAACCCACTTGCATATATATATCTTTATCCTATGAGTCTTACTGGTATGACAGGATCATATAGATTGCTATGCTACATGATTCCGGTAGAAGTCGAGTGATTGCCTGTCACTCAC